GATGCTCAACCACTGAGCCACACCGGCCGGGCACTTTGTAATTCTTAATACATGACCTTAGAAGTTCAAATAACCCAATGGCATTGCTGCAACAAAACTCTCTCTCCATCGATTTATGTGAACTAAACGATGAACTAAACTAGCACGATTCCAGGCTCGGTGTGTGTGTGTTTCTGTGGATGCTGTTTTATTTCAGCTACCAGTAGCATTCATCCATGAAGTAATTTCTTTAAACCCCCCTAAATCTCATTAAGAAAGAAATGCATTTTCCATAAAATTGTAGTTTAATATTCATAAAAATGTAATTTATTTCTGTCTTTCACTATGAATTTATAATACTTGTATAAGTCAGTATTTTAAAACTTTAATACTTAGAGCCTATGGCTAGAGGAAATAAAAATGCTTCATTTCAATGTCCACATGTTTTTAATGTAAAAAAATATGGTAAAAAAAATACCTTACAAGCATTTAATCTACTTAATATTATGAGAAAATTCTATGGAGAAAGTGGAATGAAAATAGAAGTTTAAGGAGATAAAGAAATAATAGGCTCAATTGTTAAACTTTTATGTGTGCAAGAATTTGTACATATATTATATGATTGGGCATCAAATCACTATCGTATATAACTTCCTTTGGATACATTTAAAAGTTACTAAGCAACTAAATTCGATCCTTTCAACTATTTAAACTTATGATAAAAGGTGAGTAATAACTTTAAAATGTATGAGAGAGTTATTGTTTTTGTAAAATTCTGTTTGGTGAGCAACAATGTTGGACATTCAGGGTTTGGAGTGGGGCTGAATGTTCTAGGGCCTCACGGAGGATCCGGGGAGGGAGAGAGAAGAGCGTTGGCACTGCCATCGTCCTTCCTGGGAAACGCAATACGGAGACGGTTACCTGTCTTACCATCTGGACAACGGCCGAGCCTCTTCCAGCTGAGAAGCCTGGCAGGATCCCCAGGTGCATGGAAACCCAAAGAAAGAACGAATCACAATGCTGAGCTTTGACATATCTCAAAGCCAAAAATGCCTTTAGGTGGAATAAGTCATTGAGATGTGCACGCATAAAAGAAGTACATTGTGGCCATGAAACCCAAAGAAAGAACGAATCACAATGCTGAGCTTTAGACATATCTCAAAGCCAAAAATGCCTTTAGGTGGAACAAGTCGTTGAGATGTGCACGCATAAAAGAAGAACATTGTGGCCACTTAGAAAACATGGTTGCATGCCCGACCGGCGTGGCTCAGTGGTTGAGCATTGACTTATGAACCAGGAGATCAGGGTTCGATTCCCGGTCAGGGCACATGCCCAGGTTTCAGGTATGATCCCCAGTAGGGGGCATGCAGGAGGCAGCTGATCAATGATTCTCTCTCAACATTGATGTTTCTAATCTCTCCCTCTCCTTTCCTCTTTCAGAAATCAATATAAATATATTTAAATAAAAAATAAAACATGGTTGCATCATCATATTCATTTTTATTTTCTAGGCTTTATCATCTCAAATATAAATTGCTGAAACAAACTGATGTTATTCATTCCTGTTGAGAGCATTTATTTTGTGCCAAATGCTACACGGATTCAGACTGACCACGAAAGCAATACTTTTGAGGCAACCACAGTGATGGGTGGGTTGTGGAGACACAGCTAGAAATTAGCTGGAAAATGGGCGTGAGCTCATAATACCAGAGCTTTGCGTTTCACTCGAAGGATTTAGGATTTGGGGCTTTTATCTTGATAACACTGGGGAAATAGAAAGTATTGAGGAATATGGTTGTAAGGACAGGAAAAGGGCCTTTCTTTTTCCTGGCTGTGGCCTTCCACAATTTATGAGAAGCTCCTGGTAATTAAACCCCAAGATTGTTGGCTCCTTTGATTCAAATAGCCCCTCCGTTCGAACTGCAGGTAAGCTACTCTCAAGGCTGCATTCTTGCACCCCCCTCCTCCCTGCTGTTTTCACAACTCAGGGCTAACTCACACCCAGGAGTCTCTCGTTAGCAAACTTCTTAAACTTCTATTTTCATTCCACTTTCTCCATAGAATTTTCTCATAATATTAAGTGCCCTTCCCCCTCCCTTTAAACCCAAGCCTCCCCTCCTCAAACTCTTTGTAACTTTTGCTCTTTGTAAAATTCAAGC